GTGCATTTGTTGGGCAGTTTTGCATTTTCCTGCTTGACTTGGCTTTGGCTTCTGGTCCTGCCGTGTATTTATGGGCCAAAAACGTTGCATTTGTGCAGTTTTTAATGAGTTTTTGTTTCTGTTGTTGCCATGGTTGGTGTTGTTCTTCCACGCAGTTTGAGCCAAACTTTTGCCCCACAGAGTTTGCCTCCAATGGGTGCCACTGATGCCCAGGACTGACTAGATGACAGGCTGGAGTAGAAACGCTTGACTGGCCGACTTGCACCGGACTAACTGGACGGGTAGGAACGGTACTGAACAGGACTGGACTGGAGGCACTCGAAAAACTAATCAGCGCCGGCAAAAGTTTTTCCTGGCTGCCAGCCATTCTTTCCTACGCTCGCTGGTTGGTTTGGCTCGGTTGTTTTTTCTCGCCCTCCTGGCCAAAAGACTTTACAACATAATTAAGATTGTTGCTAGCAACTTGAGTGCGTTTAATGAGGAGCGGCCAAGGAATCGAGACCAGCTAGTACCAGGACTTGGGGTATCTCTTGGCAGTGGAAACAAACATTTTAAAAAATGTTTAAGGTTTTTTAAAGAAAACTACAGGATTAATAATTTCCCATAGTGAGATATTCTTATATGTTAAACTTAGTTATACATATATTATTATTTAGCTCTTATAATAATATCACTATAGCCGCTTCAAACTTTATTGCCAACAAAATTTTCCACCAGTGCAGTCTCAATTTCCCAGCTTTTCTCTAGAGCACCGCTTGTTTTGTGAAAAGTTTTCCAACCGGGGCACTCCGGGGGCTGGGAGATGAAGAATTTTCGGGCTCGTTACTTATCTTGCTCATTTCCTTTCAGTGCACTTTTGTGTTGGGCATTAACATGGTCATTATATCCTGCCAGCCAGGACCTTTCCTCACCAACCCCCCACATCCTTCGCCGGTTGCACCTAATGTCCGTTGGCCTGCATTCGCCAGGCACTTTCTTTTTGTGGCTCTTTTGTTCTTGGCTCTAATATGAATTATGAGCACCTCTCGAGGAACTGCACTCAATTGCATAATCATATGAATTTCCGGTGGCGCTCTTGTTGTATCTCCTTGCGGATGTCCTGCATCCGGTATCTGTATCCATTGTTCTTGTTTCGCACCTCCGGCCATAAAACTAACTATTATTTCGCACTCTCTTGGCTAATGTGCTAAAAGTTGGGAGCACGCTTCACTGCTTTTATGGCTCCGAAGGCGTGGAAACATGCCGCAAATCCCTTCCCGCCGTCACCAAGATCAGTCCACTAATTCCCCCACATTTGGTTTTCATTACAGACACTTGACTGAACAAATTTATTGTGTTGCTTGTAGTCAGGGGGATTTTAAGCTTCTTCGTAGTTTATTTTTAATTTTAATATTTTTGTATATTTTGTAGGGGATTGCCAAGAAAATTAAACAAAACATTTAAAAAATACATTGTTCTCAAATTTTGATGAAGAATTGATAGACAAATCGTTAAAGGTTCTCCGCTTAAGAATCGGATCATTATTGGCAAAGATATAGCCATCGCGGTGGGTCAAAAACTGCCTCCACGCATTTTTGTACTTTTTGTAGGGGGTTGCCCAGAAAATTTAACAAAAAATTTAAAAAATATTCTGTTCTCAGATTTTGATGCAGATTGATGAAGAATCAATATACAAATCGATTAAGGTACTCCGCTCAAGAATCGGATCATTATTGGCAAAGATATAGCCATCGCGGTGGGTCAAAAACTGCCTCCACGCATTTTTGTACTTTTTGTAGGGGGTCGCCCAGAAAATTTGACAAAAAATTTAAAAAATATTTTGTTCTCAGATTTTGATGCAGATTGATGAAGAATCAATATACAAATCGATTAAGGTACTCCGCTCAAGAATCGGATCATTATTGACAAAGATATAGCCATCGCTGTGGGTCATATTGTGCCTCCACGCATTTTTGTACTTTTTGAAGGGGGTTGCCCAGAAAATTTAACAAAAAATTTAAAAAATATTCTGTTCTCAGATTTTGATACAGATTAATGAAGAATCGATATACAAATCGATTAAGGTACTCCGCTTAAAAATCGGATCATTATTGGTAAAGATATAGCCATCGCTGTGGGTCATATTGTGCCTCCACGCATTTTTGTACTTTTTGAAGGGGGTCGCCTAGAAAATTTGACAAAAAATTTAAAAAATATTTTGTTCTCATATTTTGATGCAGATTGATGAAGAATCAATATACAAATCGATTAAGGTACTCCGCTTAAGAATCGGATAATTATTGGCAAAGATATAGCCATCGCTGTGGGTCATATTGTGCCTCCACGCATTTTTGTACTTTTTGAAGGGGGTCGCCCAGAAATTTTGACAAAAAATTTAAAAAATATTTTGTTCTCAGATTTTTATACAGATTAATGAAGAATCGATATACAAATCGATTAAGGTACTCCGCTTAAAAATCGGATCATTATTGGTAAAGATATAGCCATCGCTGTGGGTCATATTGTGCCTCCACGCATTTTTGTACTTTTTGAAGGGGGTCGCCCAGAAAATTTGACAAAAAATTAAAAAAATATTTTGTTCTCAAATTTTGATGCAGATTGATGAAGAATTGATATACAAATCGATTAAGGTACTCCGCTCAAGAATCGGATCAATATTGGCAAAGATATAGCCATCGCTGTGGGTCATATTGTGCCTCCACGCATTTTTGTACTTTTTGAAGGTGGTCGCCAAGAACATTTGACAAAAATTAAAAAAAATTAAAAAAATATTTTGTTCTCAGATTTTGTAGCAGATTGGTAAAGAGACGATACACAAATCGATTAAAATAGTCCTCTTAAGGTTCGATGCAAATAGCACTTCAGTTAACAGACCAACATGCAAATGCTGACTGAACTAAACCCGCTTAATCCGAAGTTGAAAAATCAACTCTGCCAGCTTTTCTTCGTTCGCTCATTTTCTATTTTGTCGTTTTTTTTTCCAGCTGTATTTTTTGTGCGGGTTTTCATTGCTGGGTGCTAAATGTCAGCGATGCAATTAAATCGGCAATGGCCAACAACGAGAATCAAGAATGGGATGTCCCCCGGGTGGGATGGGTATGGCGGCGAAGTGAAGAGTTTGCTTGGCACGTTATAAAATTATGAAGCGAAATTGGATTTAAAAACAGCCAAGCTGTCCTGGCGGCAAAGCTGTGGAGCAGCTGAGCTAGGAGTTGTGGAAAAAAAGGCAAAATAAAATATGGAGAGTGGGCGAGAATGAGAAATGTTGGCGCCATTAGCGCCATTTTCCTTGGACGGACTATCCTCCAGCGGAGGGTCCTTCGCTTCCGCCTTTTCTGTGCTGTGCGGCTGCTGCATTTGATGAGTTGAAAATTGTAATTAAACTGCGTTTGTTGTCATTGCATTTAAAAATAATAATAATAAATAATGCATAGCAGTGAAGGTGGCTGTGCAGCCAAGGAAATGAATGGAAATGAAGGCACAGGCTTTTGTCTTATTTACACCAGACTCCTCGAGCCACACTACTTGACTGTTAAAAGTTTGACTTTGGAGCTTCAACTTTATGAAATGACGTGCGAAAAGCGATGAAATGAATAAAATTCTGAGATGGGTTACAAAATACAGAATATGGCGGCTGAAAGGGTTTTGTCAGGCGGCTGAAAACGCTTTAATTAAAGTGAAACGCAAACATTTCAATTAAGCGGCGACTCTAAGCTGATTTCAATCTGACTAAAAGGGATAACTTCCGGCAGTCCTGTGACCTGCTCCGGCTTCTGCTCCTGCTCCTTTTCCCTTTCGCCCTTTTGCTTTTCGTCCTTCGAAGTGTTCGTGGCAGTTCAAATGTTGGAATAAAGGGCACAATTAAGAGGGCATTGGCATTTGGAGGGCAGGGTGTGTTTTTAGGAATCAACGATTGACATTAATTTTGCATTAGTCGGCGCCTATGGCGTTCCTCTCGAATTAAATTATGCGCGCTAGCCATAAAAACAGAGACGAAAAAAAAACAACGCTTCAAGTGGCCATTGTTTTCTTAGCCAAGGAGTTTCCGGCTTGGCCCAATTCCAGACCCCAAAATCCAATCCCAATCCCAGTCTCTGGCTTTGGCTTATTTTATTTTCCAATTAAGTAAATTGCGTGAGCCAGACGGAGACGCCTCCTCCTTTGTGGCTGTGTTCCGAAAAGGGCGTCCACAAAAAGAATGAATGCTTTCCTCATGGTGGTCCTACATCCTTCCCCCAAAACAGCTCTCACACACATCCAATAAATGTTGCGTGTAACCCCTAGAATGTATTTCCCAGGGAGCTTCAATAACTAATCGCCGAGAGTTTTCTCTCTCGGCTTTAATTGATTCAATGTCTAAATATCCTAAGCGCATTACCCATCCGTCCGCAAAGTCAGCTTCATTACGATTATGGACTTTGATGTGTGAAAGTTGGATACCAAAGGGAGTCTATATCCATCTACAGACAGTTCTAATGCCACAGATTCATTCAATTTGTATTACTGGAAGCCTGTATGGGCTCAGCCATTGTTATCATTTTTATGGGCTTAGATAATGAGGCCATTGTTAGTTAGGTGGGTTAAATGGGGCCTTAACAAGATGTGTGTTAAGACCCTAGATAGCAAAATGCAAATTAGTATTGACAGGCTAGAGAGAAATAGGTCATAAAGCTGAGAAGGATGTGAGGAACAAATAAGTTTAAATTCTTTAGAGTATATGTAGTTACCTTATGGACTACGATTTTCCTCATTTGAAATATTAATTAGTTACTAATTTGTGATTTAAATGTCTAACTGCCTGGCTGACCACTTGGCTAACAATAAACTGGCTTAAAGACCTGCTAATTAGATTAAGTGAAGTGTCAAATTTAGTGCGTTTTCACTTTGTGTGCGCTTAACCTACTCACAAGTGCACTTCAACAGAAGCAGCCAGGCAGCAACAGCAACAGCCATTACAATTGCAACAACTACATACAACATACAAATGTTTTCAATTACAGGCTAGCAACACAACAACAACGAAACAACGAAACCGAGGGGAATAAACTGGCACAACAACTTTAAAAGTACAAACGGCACAAGTTGAGGAAGAGCCCATGAAGTGCATAGACCAGGAACAATGGTAAATGCCACGTCAGCAGCAGCAGCAGAAGCAGCAGCAACAACATTTGTAGCAGCAACATCATCACTACCAGCAGCAACAACAACGAGAGAATGACAAAAGCGAGTCAACGACAGCTTAAAACATAATACGTTAGCTAAAGGCAACAAGCGGATTGGGTGAAAGGAGAAACTAGAGGGGAGAAAGCAGACTAGAGACAGGAGACGTCAAACGGCAGTCGACAGGCGGAGAAAGTGGCAGAGAACAAAAGCGACATTACAAATGATGAGAAATCGTTGCTGCAATTAGTTGGCCCAATGCCCAAAGGGTTGATGTTCTGCTCATGAATCGCTTGAAGCCAACGGATCCGGAAATGCTAGCGAACGGAAACGGGCGGATAGAAGCTCCAGCTGGCCACTAAATGTCATTGAACACTGACCGATCATGTCCGACGTTGAGAAGGCGATTAAGGCCAAGTTTCAGCACCAGCCGCAGGACATCAAAGGCCCCGCCTGTGGCATTGACGATGAGACCGATGCGGATGCCGAAAGCCGAACCGCGCCTCTGGGATCGGAAGCCGGCGTTAAGACATCCTCCACCACCGCCACTCTAACCACCAAGCCGGGTAGTTGCACCCGTCGCCTCTGCGGCCAGCTGCTGAAGTTGCTCCTTTCCACGCCAGGACTAGTGCTCCTTGTCATCGGGTACTCTGTGCTCGGCGGGCTCATCTTTCCGCTGCTGGAGGCCCCGCAGGATCTGAGCAAGTCGGCGGCCATTGCCAAGAGTCGCGAGGATTGCCTGAGAGAGCTGTGGATAATAACAGGTGAGTCTATGATATCTCCCGCCTATAACAATTATCTTATTTCCGAGAAATCCTTTTCCCTAAAGCCACAAATGATTAAACACCAAATATTTTAACGCTTCGCTAGTAGCGCGCAAATGTACGCATAAATTATTAATGGCCAGCACATTTTTGCCGCATAGCCCGTAAATTTTGGGCCTGTTTTACACACTTGATTTGCCAGCAAATTGCCAAAGTAATTCCGACATTAAAGCGACAATGTTTTGTTATCGCCCATTAATGCTTTACAAATACCAGGCGCTGGTGCTAGAGGGCAGCCAGCACAAATATTTTAATTATAAGTACCCGCAAACATGCCCATCCAACAAAACCAAACAAAAGCCGGTCTAAATTTCATTTTCCCCCCAGTTCGCGAATTGAATAATAGCAAAATATTTGCATAGCCAAATATTTGGTTTGGCGCGTTCGGGAATATAATTCATTTTCGCAAATTTTTGGAAACATTTTATCGACATTGAATCGATTGGTGTGGCGCTTTTAGCGCAACTATTTTTAAGTCAATTTGCTGGCCTGATTTATGGGAAAATAATTACTTTGTGGCACCTGCCAGCGACACTCGCGCCTCCTTTCGAAGAAAGTGTTTATTTTCAACTATGGGAACTCTTTCCTAGTGACATGTGCGTGTTTATTAGAGCTGATGATTATTTAATTAAAATTTCACATAATAAATAAACCAATTAACTTGAGCTCATCCGGGAATGCGTCGTCCCACCTGGCGTATGATTAATATGAGAGTATATGCTTGCCAAAAAGCAGCTAATGATGCGAAGCATTCATCTTACCTTTAAACAGCTTCTCCTTTAATAAGGTCATTCATCTCTTCAGTTAGCATGAGTTGTGATTTTAGGGAGTATGGTATAAAATATTTGATACTTTTAAGCTTAAAGATTCCTTCAGACTTGAAAGACTTGACTTAGGAAGCCTTTCACATCTTTTGGCAAAAGTATTTCCAGCATTATTTAATTTAGCTGAAAGATTGGCAAGCCAAATAGCATTTGATTCTCGCTTTGTTCCCCGAAACTTGCTTGAGTCGATTAGAGTGGGTGGCTTCTTGGCTGGGCTGTCTGGGGAAAGTGCGCCCTCGAGACCTCAAGAGTGCCGCACACCGCACGCCCAAGGCCAGAGGGCGTGAAAAGGGCGTGAGCAACTGGCAACTAGTCCCAAACTGTTGTTAACAAGCAACCTCTACAATTTGCAAGAGGCGAGCACGACAACGACATCAAATGCTGGCAAATTCCTCAAGACATTCGACCGAAATCGAAAGGACGAGAAGGATGTCGGAGGCTACAAGTGGAGGATGGAACGATTTGTCGGCACTTGTCGTTCTTGGGTCGAAGGTTGTTGGGGGTTAACACTGCACTTGGCATGGAATTGCATAATTGCCGATGGGGATAATGGCACTTCAGATGAAACTGCTTTTGAAAGAGATCGAAATTAACCCGCTCTAACCTTATACCCTCTGTCTTTCTAGAGAAACTCAACGTTCTGTATGAACGCAACTGGACAATGCTGGTCCATGAGCAACTGCGTCGCTTCGAGGGCTCCATTGTGGCAGCCACCCGTCAGGGATCCGCCGGAGGTGGAGCCGGAGGATTCGGCAATTTTCAGGGCGGCAGTGCCAGTGCCCTGGGCCATTTCGGCTACGATGCCGGCGACTCCCAGAGCTGGACATTCAGCGAGGCTCTACTATACTCGGTCACTGTGATAACGACAATTGGTAAGTTCCGAATCCGATTTCGACTTCGACTCCATTACCATTTCCCCATCCGTTTCCGCACTTTCACTTTCGCCTTTACAACTAAGCCGTTTGGATTTATGTTTAGTGTTTATCTTGGGGGCGGAGGCATTGTCAGATGGGAATCCTGCGTAGCGAGCTGCTTATTATGATTTCGTTGGATTTACATTGGCCAGGCCAGGCCAGGACGGGCCTGGGCAAGCCACAACTCGTGCCGGGCCCAGTAAATATTTACTTTGGCGTTGGGACGTTGGAACGCCTTCGAAGGCAAACTAAGGCCTCTGTGGCAGCAGTCGTACGGACACATTGTGTATACGACCCGTGGGCGGTGGCAAAATATTTGCATATGCTAAATGGCGTTGAGCTCGGATAGGCCATTCTTGTTGTTACAAATTAACTACATCTCAGGGTCTTCAACTTTAATAGTGTGGGGGTCCAGAGTCCATAGAAGGGAAGTGTTAGTACTGCAAGATAAGCACTAAAATATGACTCTAAACGGATTTATTTTCGGCATTATTTAGGGTGAAGTGAAACCTAATTAATTTAATTTAGATTCTCTCTAAATATAAGACACAATTTGCCAAACTAATTGAGTTTTGAAACTGCCAAGATTCTTGTTATTTTTACTAAGACATTCTTGGCAAGTTTCTAAGATACTTTAAATGCAGTTTGGGGATTAGTTTTATATACAGGACCATTACCCGACAGATTGAGATTTCCCCCCTGCAACGCCAACCGATTAGAACTACATGCATTTTTAGTAGCCAGTGCGTGCTTGCCATTTTAAACACATAAGCAAAGATATATACTAGTCTATTGCACCGATCCTGATCTAGACTCTGTTTGCAGGTCATGGCAGCCTCACGCCGCGCACCTCCGCCGGCAAACTGGCGACCATTCTGTACGCCCTGGTGGGCGTGCCCCTCATGCTGATGTGCCTCTCCAGCCTGGGAGCCCTTCTGGCCGAGGGTCTGCAGTGCACCTACGTGCGGCTCTGCTGCCAGCTGCAGCACCACCAGCACCGCCACCACCACAGGAGCAGGAGCCGGAAAAAGTCCTTGGCCACGGCTTCAACGACAGCCGCAACAACACCGACCAGCTTGGAGAAGGATAAGGACAAGGACAAGAGCGGAAAGCGACAACGCCTGGGGGTGAGTACATGGCGTATGATTGATATTATTTTAGTGAGTTCAGCAGTAACGGCATGCTGACTGCAAGGGCATTTTTATGGATCTTAATTCAATAGTTCTGTAGGGCTGCCGTAAGGAGCAAGAAACTTACTGCCATCGAAGTGGAGGAACTTTCGAGCAACAGTTGCTGACTAACCCAAAAAGCAAAAGCATCCAAAAGTGCTCTAGTTTAAAGCAAACTTTCGACATTGTTGGCGGGGAAAAATCCGCTGTTTTACGCCAGAACTTTTCCCACTACTCCCTAAGTGTTTCGCTGGTAGTTTTTCCACCAGACACCCTCCGAAACTTTTCCGCCAGCTTCAGTTCCGATGACAGCCTCAGTTTGGTCAGCAAACTGGAAACTCCTCCGCATCCAAGCCGTTGTAAATGGAAATGGAGAGGAGCTTTTAAGCCAAGATTGCGATGGACATCATACTGCTTGATTATCCATGGGTTCTATTTGATTTTTCTGATTCTCCAACTGGCCAGTCATAAAGGTCTCGAATTACGGGTTTTAATTACAACAGCAGAAGCCTTTTAAGTGGATCTCCAACTTCGTGGCCGGTCATGGCCGGGCGTGTGCCGGTTTTCTATTAACGCAAACTGAAAGTTTGTAATTGATTTGGGCCAAAACAACAAAGAACTTTTATTTTTTGCCTTTTTGGGCTTGGGCTGGGTTGTTGGACTTTCTAGGTCTTCCCACTGCCGACTGCCAACTGCCGGGTCGGAGTTCAGTTTCACGTTCAGTATTTTTTTTCCTGGTTTATTGCGTTTTTATTTTTCTGTGCTAACAGAGCCATCGCTGTATACATTATAAATAATTTTTTAGGATATCAAAACTCTGACTAGGTTGCCCGAAAGCCCTTTTTTTGTGTTTGATTTTTGTTTACTCTGTGTTTTTGTTTGCGTGTTTTGTGCATTCGTGCATAAGTTTTGTAAGTGATTTGCTGGGCTCCCGTAATGACATTTCTGCTTCAGCCGGATCCGGGAGTTCCGGTATTTGCATGTACTTTCCTAGGCTATACGATTTCTCTTAACCTTTTTCATTGCCATTCCGGTGCGCATTCCGCTTTAAAGGCTTTAATGGGAAGTACCTGGTCGCAAAAACAAACTGTTTGCATTCACAGGTTTTTCAATTGTGGCCACTCATTTGGCGGACTGTATATGTATGTCCTGCCATCCTGTAGTCCTGTTTGTTTTGCTTGCACAAATTTCTGTTTAATTGGCAATTTATGGCAGAGTGGCAAAAACGAATTCAATAAAAAAAATTGACAAAAAAATACAAATCAAAAAGAAATATTGAGGTTAAATAAATATATAAGTGATTTTGTGTTGTGGCTGGCGAAAGTTCGATTTGCCTGATTGTCATTGGCGTGGACAGGGACAGGAGCCGGGACGGACAGGATAACAAATAAAATTCATTTCATAAATTAACATTTACTCGCCGCCACCGCACTTTTTGCACTACGATGGCAAACTTGCTTTTGTGTCGACACTTTTAATGAACTCACAAACTTTGGGCCGTCAAACTTGAAACTTGAATTTGCCAGCCACCACGGAAGTTGACTCTTTAAACGAAGTGCTCGCCCCACTTTAAGAGTTTTTTGAAACTTTCCACGACCCTTGCACTTTTTTTTTGTTTTATTCCCAGTTTGGTCGACGGCATAAATTTAATTTTTTAGCTCGGCCAAGTGGCTTTCGGTTCGTGCCGCGTAAATTGAAATGAGTGCTCAGGCACTTTAATGTGGCGCCGGGAAAAGTTTCTCCGCATAACAACAATTACACGGCAGCCGCCTGGAGGCATGCAATAACTTCTCATTTCCTGCCACCGATGGGTGTCCTAATTGATTTTGATTCGGCCCATTGGACTCGGTCTGGGTGGGGCTTGGGCTGTGGTGAGTTCTCTCACAGATCCTCTTTAAAAAGCTGAATAGAACTAAAAACTTTTCCACATCCTCAACGCTCGAGTGGTAATCTAATCTGTTACTTGCCGTGTTCAACGGCATTCGAGCATGGAATTCCCTATTTTTATTCAGCATTTTCCTTACTCCTTGGCGCTGCCAGCTACTTGTTGAACAGGATTTTTGCATTTGCCAAGAAAAGTAGGTCCACAAAAAGAGCTAATAAAAAAGAAGTTTTTCCAAACTTTAAATAAGTAGGCACACAAATGATTGGAGGCCTCAAACTAAAACCACTTTAAAATGAAGGATATCTGCTTTCTCCATGTGTAGGTATAGTTTCCATAAACCTAGTCCTGGGCCTCTTTCTGGTCCCGGCTGCATTTAACAACTCATTAGGGCGCCTTCCAATTTCAGGAAATCTCACAAGCTCGCCGCCTTGATATGATTTTCGGTGCCAAGTGGGCTTTGGGGGCTTACCATCGTGCCGTACCGGACCGTAAGGACATGCGGCGGCCGCAAGGATACGCATGGCCATTGATAAGACTGGCAGCCAGCAGATTGCGGTTGACTCTGGGGGATGTGCAGTCATCGGTTGAATTATTATCGCCATCATGTTGACTGCCTTTTGGCTTTTGGCCTTTGCTGTTGCCACTGCCGCTGCCATTGGCTTTGCGTTTCGGCTTTCGTCTTTTGCAATTATCATGACGCATGCTGTAACGAAGGCTTTTGGGTTTTTGGCCCAAACCGCAAGACTAGCAGGGAGACATTTCAGCCGTATGTTTGCGTGTCTCTCCACTGTGTGTGTCCATTAGATTTGTCTGGCATTTGATGATGATGATGATGCCACAGAACCGCAACGTACACACGCTGGCAGGCGTTGCCCACAAACAGCTTTGTGGCACAACCACGACGATGACATCATTTTCGGGCCTCAAGAAGGCCTGGGATTGAGCATGCAAATTACGTGTTTTATTGGCAAGCCCTCCTCCTCTAACCCCTCATCCGAAAACAAGGAAAATCAAAATTTTCCATTTCTAATTATTGGGCATTGCCACTCAGATATGGTCTCGAGTCCTCTTTAATATCAAAACCCTTTTCATTTTCTCCATTCAGGCCAACTGCAAAGGCTGCAAGTACGATGCGGCCAACAGTGAGACGAGTCTGAACGATTGCTTCGAGTACGGGGCGAAGGAGAAGCTGCCGCCGGAAAAAGGGGAAGGTAAGTCGTGGCATTGTCCGTATGCTAATTGTATTGTCAGCACAATTGGAAGTCGTTAATCATCTTTAACACGTCGCTTCTTTCTCGATTTCTTTTGTCCGTTGCGGTGACCAGATGCCTGTCAATTGTTGCACAACTTGAATCAGCAGCAGCAATTTTACCAACAGCAGCAGCAGCAGCATCAGCAACAGCCACAACAGCCGGATGTCATGCTAATGACAACGACAACAGGCAATGCATTGCTGAAATACGCACCGCAGCAGCAGCAACAGCAGCAGCAGCAGCACTTGCAACAACTGCAACACCAACAACAGCAGCAGCAATTATCGACAGCAACTCTCCCGCGGCAACATCACCAACAACAGCAGCAAGTGCAACAGAATTTCGTGGCCGTACCAAGCAGCATGCTGCGCACAATGCCGCTCACAGTGCCGCCGAATTGTTATGCCCCTGCAACTGCCACGATTTACTTTCCATTTGCCCCCTCGGCACCCGGCAGCCCTGCCCACGGCCACTCCCTGTTGGCCGCGAATCCGAATCCGGTCCTCAATCCGAATCCAAATGGGCTGGGGCATGCAACCGGGAGTGGCGGTCTGGTCAAGTATCACACGTTACATTTGCAACCGGCTTCCGGCAAGCACCGGGTGCTGGCCTCGGGCCTTCAGGACACTTCAGGACCCGGGCCGGAATCGGCGACCCTCGAGGCCATCACACTGCCACCGCCACCGGCCTATCAAACGGGCAGTTTGCATGGTAAGTGCTCCAATTGCTTTGTTTATGGCCATGTTCGTGTAAATTATGGAATAAATTCTATACAAAAAAATATCAAAGAGAGTATAAAGAGTTTAAATTAAAAGCTTAACTAGTACAGGCCTTGGAAGTCCAGTTTATTTTAAAATTTAAATCAAAGTCCTTGTGACTTTTATAATAATTCATTGAAATTGAAATTCTGACAAATTAAGTCTATAAAGTCATACATAGAAAGCTTGAATTATTCTAATTGTAGATTTAATCCCTAATCGAAGAAAATGAATGTCAATGGCCACCTCAACCGTGTCTACCTCAGAATATTTTGATAAATTTTCAATATGATTCTGAATTGTTAATTAGCCATAATTGTAGTTGAACGAGAGTTGTGCATAAATTGTAACAAAGGCGAATGAAATATAATTGGATGAACAATTTGTGGCAGCCTGGTGTTGCGGAGAGAGGTTGAAACCGAAAATGTTCTGCTGACAGATCTGGCTTAACCTGGGCGGGCTTCCCCTGGAAACAAAACCGAACTGTAATCAATCAATCATACGCCCCGTTGTCGCCTGTTCCTGGGGCTCATTTACGCATTCAATTATATAACAATTTGTTGGGTGGCGACATCATCGTCCTCGCAGATGGATACTGAGGAGTGGCAGCTTGCAGGTTGCGGCAAAAGCAGCATCAGCTTCAGCATCAGCCTCGTGTTAAAATGACAGAGTTAAGCAGACACACTTCAGCCGCCGCCCAAAGTGGGCGTGCCAGTGGGTGGGGCATTAAAACTTTTCAACTTGCGCTGCTTGACATGCCACGACAGCAGCAACATCAGGGGCAACAGCAACAACGGCAAGGACATCATGCACTCCAAGCAACTTTCGACATGTGCGACACTTTTATTGACGATAATGATGACTTGGCATTAAGACGAAGTCTCGCAGGACATGCTCCTTACAGCCTTGCTTCCCACCGTCTGTCTGCAGCGCATGCAAAACTCATTTAAACTAACAGCTCGGTCTCGACGCGGCACGTGACTTGCTTTTAATCAAAGGATTCCGCTTAATTTCGCAACAAATTTTAGCGTGAGTCTTGGCCATTTTTCATGGCACGATTCTAGCTATCATTGATTGCATTATGCATGTTAATTGTCTGCAACTGCCACCAGGACACGGTGCGAAGTACTGGCTCCCCAGACTCTGGAGTTTCCCCCAGGAAGGTCCGAAACCTTTGGTGTGCCACACCATTAAAGTCCGGCCAAAAGTTGCTGCAACCGCAGCTCCAAAGTGACTTTCAGGGCAGGTCCTGGTGTGTTGCATGTCCTGCCAGGCTGGTCCCTGCACTCTAATGAATGTCTTTGTGCGCTTTTGTGAGCGTGCGAGTGTGGTGTCCAAGTTTAAGTAAATATTTTCAAATTGGCCATGTCCGGAGCAGACCGCACTCCACCGCGATTTCCCAGCGTCCTGCTGACAGTTCCGAAAGTGAAAGACATACGCTTCCTTTCTGGGGTTCTTTTTTTTTTTGTTTCTCTAGTTTGGTGTTGATAGTTGAAAACAGTGGTTGTTGAAAAGAGAGGAGAACTCTAAGGGCTTGTTTACATCCTCAACCTTTTTTTTTATAATCCCCTTCAACCCTTAATTTATTTAATTTCCCATTCGAACAACAAAAATCTGATGAATAATTCAAAATACCTACATAGTTTCGGCTGGTTTTGTGCCCCCGACAATTGCCCACTGTGGCATGCCCTGCCAGATGTTTTAATGCCCTCTGACATCCCGACCCTGCCACTGGCAGCCGCTAATGAAAGTTAACGCCAAACTTTTGGCTTTTCGATGGGCATAAGAGGGGTTAGACGGGGGTATTGGGAATCCGAAACGTTCCGCCACATTGTTGCATTGTTTGGCGAACTTTGAAAATGCAAAGCAAATAATTTCGCAGCATGTCCCCCTCCGCACACTCTTCTGCACTAAATGCACAACTTTTCCGCCACTCCTTCCGCAACTGCTGGCAACTGCCACTTTTCCACATCCCCATGCCCCGGAATGGGGGATTCCAGTCCACTTCCATTTCCACCGGAACTAACGGGCTAACGGGATAATCTAACCGTGTGTGGCAGTTGGCGGAAGTTGTTTTGCCAATTTGTGCGCCAACTTTTGGGCCATCATTGTGCCAAGTTGTGTGTATTTTGGTTAATGTTATTACAAAAATATATTTCATTTAAGTTAGTAAAGTTTAGTTAGTATAAAAAAATATATAAATTCACTTAAAAAACGAATCTAAGCCAATGCCAATTTTATTATAAGGCCAATTACATTTAGAGGGACTAATATTGAACCTCCTTTTATTATAAAAAAAACCATTTAAAACTTGAATTAAATTGTGTTTTTAATTTTCAATTTGTTGCAGCTGTGCGACGAGGCAAGTTCGTGACGAAACCCTTGCCGCACGAGATCAATGCTCTGATGGACTGTGGCACGGGATCCACTGATTTATTGCTGCCGGCAGCAGGACCCGCACCGGCAACATCGGTTGGAGCAGCAGCAACAGCAACAGGCACCGCCGCAACACCCGCACCACCATTGTTAACCTACACAGTGGCCGCAGCAACCAGCCCACAACTGGCCGGTGGCATTCAAGGCGTGGCAGCAGCACCACCACCACCAGTGGGTGCAACATCGGCGGCAACACTGTCCGATAACAGTTTTATGGCCGCAGGTATTTGTGGCATTGCAGCAGGCGGAGCAGCAACAGCCTCATCGGGGACGACAGCAACATTGTCAGTCCTTCTAAACGCCAACTCGACGGGCACGGTGGACATAATGGAGGACGAGGAGGAGCAGGAAAGGGAGCGATTGAGGTATGTGCCACAAAGAATGTGGCAACTAATCGGATTCAACAAAAAAATCCGACAGCTTTAAGCATTATTTTTTGCCCAGAGTTGAAATCAAAGTGGGAAATGCTGTCGGGGCTGTATGCTTCTGTTTAATTTTATTTTGTAAACTAACTTTTTGCCAGCTGCACTTTAAATCAACACTTCAGAATTTGCATGAGATGTTTGCAGCAGCATTTTGCCACTCCCACTTTTCAACAGTCCGCCCATGGCCCCTGCCCCTGCACCTGCCACTTGGCTCGTCATTTTCTGCCAGATTGCCGAGGGCATCGCTTCTGGTGATGGTTTCCTTCGCCTCGCTCTTTTTTGAGCGCACATTTTGAGGATTTTATTTAATAAAAAAGCAGCCAGCAAGAGCAGCAGCCGCATCTGGTAATTAATTTTGACAGTGAACCTGTGCACGCGTCGCGGGGTGCCCTCCGGCGGTTAACAGCACCAGCAGCAGTAGCGCCAGGAGCAGGACCATAAGCAGTAGTCGAAGGACCTGCCACCCTCCTCTTCAGTTTCAGTTTCGTTTTCAGTTTCAGCCTTGTCTGTAATTAATTGTAAGCCGAGCAGCGCACTCAGTCGCAATGAATCGGGTCAATTAATCTCAACCGAATGCTCCAACCACGCCCCATCCTTTAGCTTTCGAGGTCCCTGTTCCCCTACTGTTGAGGTCCTGTGGAGTTCCCGTCTTAAGCAAACAATAATATATAAGTCTGTTCACACACGTGATGTTGTCGTTATTGATCGACTGGATCTATTCCATTGGCAAACAGGAAGAGAAGGCTTGAACACACAAGCTGCCAGGTCCTTTGAATGCACTTGGGAAAACAATGTTCCTCATTGTTTCAAATATGAATATTAATTATGAATATTTAATGGAACTGGATCCTCTTAGTTTCGCATCAAATCAAAATCATTATACCCTCATAGGAAGAGTATAAACCAACCATGTCTAGTGATGTCCTGGCACTTTGCTTAGCCAATCGCTTCTCGAGTGCATTCGGGGCGAGTGTTTGCCTAGCCAAGAGGACAAAATCCCGGAAGACTGCTGGCCAAGTTCAATAAATGTTCGGAAAATTGATTTGACAGAGAGTGAACCACTTGGGAAAGAGTCTGCTTTCGGCCAACGAGCTTTCCCAGGGGACTACTGCAATTTGGCCGGAATGCTCGTTCGTTGCAATTCAAAAGGTATTTGGATTGTCAATCGGGTACGATTTGTCAGTTTCGAAATTTCCAACGGAGTGTATTTGAGTTTGCCCAGAATTCAAATGAGCTTAAGGATTTCGAGATTTAAGAAGGATTCAAGAAACGGTAGGAATTTAAGGAGATTTCCAGATAACCAACCCACAACTGAGTGTCTAAATATAACGCATACGCCATGTTTGCCTCCTAGGCACACGTCTGTCTTCCGTTTTATGCCTTATTGATTGATCCTGTACATGACAGCTATTTCCTTTTTACTGCCTGAGGTCCTGCTTTGGGGTTTGCTTTTTATGCCTAATTGATTTGTTTTACGGTCAGCCGTGGCATAAATATTTATCGTCCATCTTGATGTATCTTTGTTTTTTTTTGCAGTAACTGCCCGCATGGCACCCCCTCGCGTGTTCCGCTGATAGCCAGCTCCATGGGTGCGCCCCAGGATTCTGGGGGCGTTGGAAGCACCTCCACCACTTACAACCGCCACACGCTGCAGCCGCTGAGCCGCAAGACCCTTCTGCTAACCCGCCGCTGCCAGAGGCATGCCACTGGAACTCTGTACGACAGCACGGCCAACAACACGGAGACCTCCGACGACGACGGGGAGTACATGCAACATGGCAGCGAGCAGTTTGTGCTAAAGAAGCTCCGACACCACGGCGGACCGGAGGAGGAGTCTCGCCGCCGGCGAAGGGGGGACACAGACGGCGAGGGGGAGGACTCCGAGGAGGACGAGGACGAAGAGCCGGAGCAGCAGGTGCCCATCAGCCTAGTGCTGCTCATCCTCATGTGCTACATCTGCGTGGGCACCGTGATCTTCGCCCTCTGGGAGGACTGGTCCTTGGTGGACGGCGCCTACTTCTGCTTCGTGACGCTCTCAACAATCGGCTATGGGGACTTTGTGCCGGCCCGGAGCTTCAACGGTCCGGAGCTGCAGCTGTACGCCTGCTGCGCCTACCTCCTCCTGGGCCTCGTACTGGTGGCCATGTCCTTCAGCATCCTGGAGACACAGCTGATGTGGAAGTGCAAGAGGATTGCCGTGCGACTGAAGCTGACCCGCACGGATTGATAGTATACTCTGAACACAATCGCAAACGCAAAGCTTATAGCCTAGACTAAGTTACAGTGTACTATGTAATTAGAAACCAAAAACTAGCCCATCTCTGTGTATATTTGTCTGCCTAGCGAAATACATGTAATAGCGAGGGACAAGTGCTCGTACGTTGTCTGGAATTCAAATGAATTTGTGTAAATAAACTGAACTTTTGGAATTTTGGAAATTGTTCTACTATTTGGGTAATTGGTGGCAAGGCATGACTGAAATTTATACCCCAGTATCAGTATCGAATTCGTTGCGTGTCCTGGCCAAGGTCTTTGGGTTCATCAGGTTGAATTATGTGTAACCTAATCACATTAACATAACTTATTGCCCAGCTGCCATAAAGCGAGGCAAAGGGAAAATGTCATTTATATATTTATCCTAATACCCCGTCTCCCCAAATGAAGCTGGAATAATAAGCATAATACCTGCGTTTATCCCTCGTGGAGTGTCAGCCCAAAAGCATCAAGTTTCACGAAAAAATACAGAAGCACACACACTCTGAGGAGTCCCACCAAGGACCTCGCACACGTCCTGAAACTTTGAAGAACGTTCATCATCCTTCCGAGGCATTGGGCGCATACAAAGTGAGCTTAGAGTGGCGCATAAATTTCAAAGTGCCACGCGTCATCAAAATCAAATGCCAGCCGCAGTCGAGCCACCGCGTGACCCACTTTCCACCACAAAGTCACAGTGCCAGCACCAGATCCTTCGGTGGAATGTTGAGCGGCAAAATGATGTAGCTCAAAATCAATTGATATGACATCAAATTGAATTTATAATTTCTTGCCGCTTGTTTGTGTTTTTGTGTCTCAATTGGCTTTGATGCTTCCGGCTTTTGACTTTCCGCACGCATTCCCCAAAAATGTTTTTCTTTTTTCAAAAATGGTGAACCCCGAAGGGTCCATCAAGTCTAGGGATGCTTCATTGGACATCCTACATATGTAAATGCCATTAAAGGTCCTTCAGGTCTTCTTTAAGAAAAACAGCTAAAATTTAATTTTCCTAAATAGTTTTATTCTTTTTCTTTGTACATATATGAATAAAGTTATAAGAATAAAGATTTTGTATTTTGTTTCTATTTTTGTTTGGAAGGACCTTTTACTTTGGATATTTATCACCCGTGTCCATGCCACAATCACATTTAGTTTCGATGTTTTGGCCGCTGGGGACTCGTACTGGCAATCGAGCTAATATCGGACACATTGTCCTTGGCCAAGGACCCTCTGGCCGTCGTCTCATCCAGATCTACCACATGGATGTCGAAATTGGAATGGCCAGATGGCACACCATGTGAGGTACGACTATTGCCTTGAACTCGACCCTCTACGGAAAAGGGTGTATGGCTGGATTTATAGGGAGGTGGTGCCGGAGCCAAGGGGGCTGCCTTCTTCAAAGGACCAGGATTAGAAGGAGGAGCAGGAGTTGAATCAGTCACCAGTTTGCTGGGACACAAAGGCAGCTCCCTCTGTCTGGCCAACTGGCTTATCGATGATCCTGGAGTAGGCCCTGGCGTGGGAGCCGGTGATGCTTTCCTGCTGACTTTCAGCTCAGGAGCTGTCAAGGATCTCCCATTGTTCAAGGCCATGGCCCGGGCAGGTACGGACTTAATGGGTGGCCGCCAGATGGTCTTGATCTTGGGTGTCTCATTGTGGGAGATTTCATCACTTATTTGATTCAACAAATCCAGCAGAGTGCTGGTCTTCTCGTCCTCGAATTCAATGCGGATGGGTGACTCCCGACCGGAAGGACAATTAGGATTCAGCATTATGAGTCTGTGGAGAACATGGAACTTGTATTAATTAAAATTATTACAAAGGTTGGTCTTACCTCTTGGCCTCTTCAATGGCTCTGCCCAGATTCTGCAGGCTTTTCCTCTCGTTTTGAGTGCATCGTCCTATCTGAGAGTCCTGGGCGGCTTTCAAGACCACATTCCACTTGTGGGCAGTGGATTGCAGGAGAACAGTTTTGGCCACTCGTTGGAATCGCTCCTTGGCGGTCTCCTTGGCCGGCTTGGAGGGTATGGACTCCACCTTGATCTCCCTCATATCACCCAGACCGTTGACATTTCCAAAGGCATCGGTCTCGCAACTAGACTGAACCGGTGCCACCTGGAAGCCCTTCATTAGACGTCGCTCCCAGACCTTGATGCGACGAGGTCTTCGTTCTGGTAGGTAAATAGTTTTCAATATTTTACCTTTAGTTTTCTGGAGCAGAATACTTACGTTTATCCTTCTTGTTGGCCGAGGAGACATCCATGCCGCTGTTCTCGAAAATCTCTAGCATTTCATAGCGCATTGTGTTTATTTCGCTCTTCACTTCGTTGATATCGTCCTCGGATACAGGATTATTCTCGAACTTGCGATGCATGGCGGCCACATATCGCCAGACCAGAGAACGCATAATATTATCGTATTTGCTGTACTCCTCCTGCTCCTGTCGCTTCTGAAAATGGGATAAGTATCTAATAGGATGAGGAAGTCTTCAGCAGAAAACTCACCTTAGAGCGCTGACGATCGATGGCCTTGCTAGACTTGCGGAACATCCTGATCAGCCATTTAACCGACGGCAGGACATTGAAAGGAGGCGGTAGAGTAGCACTATCCTCAAAGAAACTCATCCACAACTTGGTGCGAGCGAATTTCCACTCAGTGTCTGAGTGCTCCTGCAAAGGAACATTATTATTTTGAGTATAAGGTCAAAGTTCGTGTTAACTTACATCAATCATGGCATACGAATTCGACATCATGGCAATCAGTAGGTTGAGGAGAACAATCACGTTGATGACGCTGTACGAGCCGAACATGAGCAGTCCCCAAAATCGCGTATACGACTTGATGCCACTGAGCTCGAAGTCATCCAGGCCGACCATTCCGAAGCTGGCCCAAAACAGCGACTGCGAGGACTCGAAAAGGCTAAAAACATTGAACAATTAGCGTGATGAGTGGATAATTGGACTAGTGACTGGACTTACTTGCCAAAGCGACGCCATTTCATGCAGGAGTCGCCGTGGTTGCCCCAATCGGCCTCCCCGCCTGGCAGGACATAACACTTGCTCTTCTCCAGCGCCGCAAAGTACCACAGGAGCTGGTTGAGACCGCAGGCGAAGGCGAATAACACTAACGTGTAGATGAAGAAGAACTTCACAATGTCAATGACCATTCGGCCCAGCGAGATCTGCAGAGGTCCCAGGTGCGGATTGATGCTGAACATGTGGACCAATTTCAAGGCCGAGAAAACATTGGCCGCCGCAAAGAGGCCTTCGGCAATCAGTTGAGGATCAAAGTCGTGCCACTTTTCTCGGGGTATATACGCCATCTGGGGGTCTCTGGATATTTCCGTGGCCTGTTGGATGTAGGCAAAGGCTCTGGAATAGAGAACAATGAGGCTTAAATGGTCTTTCTCGTTTAAAAGGCTTAATAAGCCCTCCTTTTCATCTCGATGTCACCGAGAATAACTAAGCATAATATCCTAGATTTAGGGGACTCACCTCAGACACATGACACTCACATAGAGACTGTTGCGTAGAAAGTCGATAAAATTCCACATGTTGCGTAAATAGTTCTTCATGCCGACGGCAAATATCTCCTGGACCTCCTCCCACATGAAGCCAATCACGTAAAGGACGACGAGGAGCTCTAGCTTGGTGGGTGCCTGGCCACGTTGTCGCAGCTCCTGCTCGGCCAGCTCCTTTTTCATCCTGTCCGTGCCGAAGATGCGGACAAAGTCATCATCCGCCCGTTGCGAGACCAGAATTAGAATGACTGCGAAAGTAAATAGAGATGAGTGGAGGCATGGGGTTTCCAGGTAATGCCAAGTCACAGGTAAATAAATCTTGGCCAAAAATAGCCGTAAAGTGTTGACTTGTTTGCTGACATTTCCTGAACTTTTGCGTTGAAAAGCCAGGGCTTCAGTCTTTAAAGGATATGTGCCTGTCGATTGAATCTCAGGCTAGGATTTCTAGCTTTCCTATTATTTCAAACTCATATTGTTTGTGACTGCAGTCCTTCGGATACAGGATACTCACATAGGAAAAACAAATAGGAGGAGGCATGTATCAGAAATTTCATAAAGGGCTTGCGCATCAGCTGCCCCGTGCGGCAGTTTGGGGCACACATGTAGATAAGGCAGTAGAGTGGGAACAGGACCGCCACCTGGCCGATGCACAGGGCCTTGTCCACAATGCTCTTGCGCCGGAAACCGGGGAGACCCTCGTACCAAATCGATGAGAGTAATTGTTGAATATTCGAGTGGGCAACGAACTGCAAACAAGAGAGAAAGAATTATTGGCTTCAGGGGAAATTTGCCTGGCAAATTACCTTCTTCTGTTTGTAGGATATGGCCTGGACCAGTCGTGTCAGGCTCATTCTGTCTCCCGGCTCATAGCTCGACATTTGCGGGTCATAGTTCAGGATAATGGCCAGTTCGTTGGAGGTCCTTGTCTGATCTAAAAGATCCACCGCAAACTTTTGGCACTGTCGCCGCAAGTCCATGTACTCTGCTTTGCACTCCTGCTCGGTCAAAGCCAGGTTCCTTAATTCCCAGGACAACTGGAAGGCCGTCAGGATCGGGTCATTAGAGGTCAAGCAGATCAGCGAAGGACTGCACAGAGCCCGGTAAATGTTGACTCTGGAAAGGGAGTGCCTCAGCGAGTCCTCGGCCATTAAACGCATGCACTCCTCACAACCGCAACTGCAATAGAAATTGTATTTTGAAGTTTTATCCATAATATTTGTTTCAGCGAAAGGACCTACCGTATATCATGTGGCACGGGCACTGCTGCCCCGCGATCCAAGAGTATACGTAATATTTCAAAGTTGTTTTTGTGGGCAGCCAGCATCAGGGGCGTGATATCCGGAGCAAACATGGCCGTGTTTATATCCACCTTTTGCCAACTCTGAGGGGGAAAATATAAATGTAATTGAAATATTCGAATTTGTACTGTTCTTGGAAATCAACTTGAAATAAGTAGCTATAATATTGCCGAATATATCGATTTGCCATCATGACCCCATACTCCCTGCTGGAAAATCTCGGAGCTTGACCCTCCCTGAAGGACATCCGAAAAAATACTTGAAAAAACCACTGGCTGGGAACCCCACTCAAATCCTGGCTGTCTTCATCATTTGTAGATGTTATTAAGCCTGCTAAACGTTTTATTGCATATGCGCTACAATAGTAATTTTCACGCTCCAACAGCGCCCAATGGCTGCCTAATGAAGCGTGCCAGTGTGCATAAATATGAGCGGTGTCTGGCCCGGCTGGAGTATCTGGGGAGGCGGAGTGCCGACCGACGACTTTATTTGCAATAAACGTAAACCGGAGATACAGGAGCAAAAGGAGCACAGACGGATCAGCAGGAGCTGGATGTGGCGGGGCAAGGGCACTGGCCGCTTATCGCACACTCCCAATCACTCGAGCCTTGAGACACTCGGGCTGCGTGTACGTGCCCGATGGCGACGCTGATCCCGAAGGATGGGTCATGGCATCCAGCTCAGCACTCGAACACCCAAAAGCCCCTCACACGGAAACTGATTAAAATCGTGTTAGCTTCAACTTACCGGGGCCTAAGCCAATGGGACGGTAACCGCAAATTAGCTGAGCACAGCAGACAGAGACACAGAGAAATATAATTTATTTGTAGGTCAGAGCCAGAAAAAAATGTTACTAATTATGCTGCACTATGGCTCAAAGAAAAATATTTATAGCATACTTATAGTCTCCTTTTTGGTCCTTAATGCTCATGAAATTCAGTAAAAATAAACCTTTCCAAACCATCTTGTAAGGAAAATTCGTTTGGCATATTTTAAATTTCTTTCCCTGTATAAAGAGGAAAGGAAAACTTACGTAGGGCTCACCCTCCTTGTAGATGAGCTCCTCGTGCTCGAGGAGCAGCTCGACCGCCTCCACGAACTCCGCATTGATGGCATGGAGCAGGGCGTCCTTTGTCTCCACACCCATGATGACGAGCAGCTCTACCATCTCCAGGTTCTCGTTGTCTATCGCCAGGGTGAGGGCCCGCCGACCCAGGGGGTCCATGCAGTTGATGTTGATGTGCTGGTGGCGCAGCGCCTTCTGCAGAATCCTGCAAGGGAATTATGTCGTCGCAATTATTGGAATTTTCTTAATAAAAGACATGGCCACCAAGCAGGGGACTCGTTGTTAATTTAAGCAAATTTTCGCTGCAGAAAAAGGACGAAATTACTTTTGCTTTTCTTCATCATCGATTCGCGATGCCCGCAGTCAAAAGTTGGTCGAAAAGTTTCTAATTACGTGAAGAGGCCAACAAAAAACTTTGCCAATCAATCGAGTGCCAACTAAGGAAACGAAAATCGTTTCGTTTTCAGGGCTGACACAAAAACGAAGAAGAAATCAGAGGGGTATTACCTTATTTTTTTTTTTTTTACCAACACTGCTGTTTAAATCTAGTTGCCTTGGCTGGTCAACTGTCACAATTACTAACCATCTGCCGACTAAAAAAGACGAAAACTTTCAGTTAATGATCGTTCGTCAACATAAATTGTTGTACAAAATTCAAAGAAGAAAAGGACTAAGCTTTTACGACGCGATTACAGTGATATCACACCCATAAAACCCATCCACATTTGGCGATTAAATTATTTGTAACACCAATAATCATCCTCGATCCCGGCGATTTTTGAGAAACTCGATTCGAAATGGAAGTCGCCGAGGGTCAAGGCTTGGTCATCAAAATGGCCCAAAAGAACAAGGGTGAGTCGGTCGCGCCAGGATCGATTTACATCTAAACATGATACACTTTCCAGAGACTCAAACGGTGAAGATAGTGGCCGGCGGAGGAATGGCTCCCAATTGGTTCCATGCGGCGGCGTATACGGCTCCCGGTGGTCCATTCACAGGCCATCCACTAGCCCCAGGACCACCAACTATGCAACACCAACCCATATCCTGCCAATTCTACATGGACAGGGAGGAGCAACTCTACCGGCGCGCCTGCCAGATGAAGGGCATCCGGGTGGAGCGATTGAACGAAATTCGCGAAGAGGAGGACGACTCTGTCGGCTCCGAGGAGGAACCTTCGAAGGGCATCTACCGCTATACGTTAGACGAGATGAAAAGCTACAATCCATATCGTTTTATCAACTTTTAAGATATGTCTCGGAATCATCACCACAATATCTAAGACCCTTAGTGTAAACAAAACAACAGTACCTTCCACCATAGCAAACATAACATTATCCCTAATGTCGCATCGCCTGTTTGGGAAAACTAGAATAGTATTCCTTAGTGACGTCCCTAGAACTTATAGAATTAGCGCTTGTGCAAGGATTAGCTTCTATAGCCTATATAGAGTATACCTCATAAGATGCTCAGCCGACTTGACACTTGGCACACGGAACATATGCATGCCTCCATCAAACAATTACAGGAACCACAATCAGTACAACAGGAACAGCCTGAACAGGATTCAAAAATGGACACCGATTGTTTGCTACCACTTTCACAACCGGCACATATATTATTAGCAACACAACTCTCCGTACAATCGAATCAAGTATTCGTGAAATGTATTCTTATTCAAAACAATAAAAAATTGTTCATAAATGGACGCCAGCCTTGTCGACCAACTTTTTTAGTACCTACTTTATATAGAAAAATATTATATTATTTATTATTTTTTTTAAGCTTATTTAGGTTTTTTTGAAGTATATTCATATACTTCAAGTAATTGAATTTTCTCCTAACAATATTAAACCAAATTTGTTGAATTTTTTCATGCACCTTCTCGTATATTCATTGCCAAAAAAAACGCGAAATTAATTGTGCATTTATTAAAGTAAAGCTGTAAACGAGCGGAAAGTAACACAAATGGGAATGTGAGATGTGGAGCCCTCATATTGCTTATTAAGTGGCTTGTAAGACACCAGTTAGGCAACCATTCTGGGGCCTCAGGCGATGGTGGGTGACTGTGCAAATAAATGAAACCACCCAGCATGATGGTGCCACCGCCGAACAACCCAAAACACACCAAAGGTGCGTCCCGAAGGGATTTATGTTACCCGTGTGGCCCAGCCCAGTCAACACCTGGGTTTGCCCTGACAGAGGGCTGACAACCAACGAAACTTGGATACCTCTTAAGGAAAATGGGGATTTTTGATAATTTTAAATTATTTTAAATGTTTAAATCGAAGAAGATATTGAAGTTTTATAACAGAAAGGTATGAAATCTATAAATTCTTGTTTGATAATATAACAAAATTATAATCCTCATAGTGTATCCTGTAACTAAACGTCGTTGTCTTTGGGAATTAAGCTTGGGACTCTTGTGTATTTCTCCCCTATCAAGACCCTATATCCTTCATCCTTTTTAAGGTATTTGGAGGCAGAAAAAAACGGCACTCACCTGCGCACATTCGGCATGTCTCCCCGCTCCACAGCCAGCAGGAACTTTTTCTCCTCGAGCAGCAAAGGTTGTGGTAATCCCAGTGGCACACAGCACCCGCCCACCGTTTTGGGGGCGTTGGCGGAGTTGTTGCCTCCAGACGATATCTGGCATATTTAAAAAAAAAAACAGAAGGGGGAGGCAGTGGTGAGTTGCATGTATGTGGGTGTTTATGGCGGGGAATTCGTGAGAGCGACGGAATTGCAAATAAATAAAAAATAAACATACAAGAAAATTAAGTGCAAAGTGGCGGTGTTTGGATCCGGATCCGGATATGGATCTTGGCCGATTGTCGGGCTTCCATTTAAATGGCAGGGCACTCAAGCTAAGTATCTACTGGCAACTTTAAGAGGCAACTGGCTGCTAATATGCAAATGTGTCTTCTTGATTATATTTTGTTCGGTTTAAGCCATTTTGGGGCTCTTACTTACGCCTGTCGGCAGCTTTTTTTTGCGACCCATGCTGGTTTTTAGTGTCTTTGTTTTCTATTTTACAATTCACTTAACAAAAAGCCGAGCACAATTAATATTCCATGTACAGTCCAGTTTGGAACTCCCTCAAAACTTTGGCTCCATGTCAAAGAGCTTAAAATAAACACGCACAAAAAACTACAGAATATACATATTATTTATATACACAATGGCTAAGCCAAAAAAGTCCGATACTAAGCCCGGCCAAATGCAACTTTCAAGTTGAATTTTGCATTTATTACGCAGTCTGGACGGAGTGTGTGCGTTGGTTTTTGTCTTAGTTTATGGTTTCTGGTTTCCGGCGTGCAAAAAAGTCAAAAGTTTCCATTTAAGCTGTTTATAATGTTTTTTGTTGGCCAAGCCAGGCTAAACCCTTTTTAAGTGGCAACTGCATTTGGTGGACTTAACTTTTGGGCAATTTTTGACTTGATTAGAGACCGAAAAATGCACATAATCGCGACTTTTCGAACTCGCGTCGAATGCAATACTAAAACATATATATTATTTTCGCGAAAACACACACGAATTATTAATGGCCAATTGGGGGGTTTTAATTCCATCACTTGTTCTGTTTTGATTCAAATTTTCTCGTTCTCATTGCGCAAATAATTCGGTTGCATTTCCCTAACTTGCCACAGCTGTAGTTTTAATGATACTTTGTGATTTTTGTTTTGATTGTTTACATCACCAGTCTTCTATATTTAATATTTTTTCCAACTCTTTGTTCGGCAATAGTTCCTTTCTCCCCCGATAGCCAGTAGCCCCTTTTTTTGATAATTTTAATAATACTTATTTTGGTCTTTTCTCTCTGCTCGTGTGAACAATGCCAAATGAATATTTAAGACTGTTATTTTTTTTCTGGTTTTCAGTACCAAGCGAGTACCAATCGGTAATCCGCTGGGGGAAAAAACTATATCCCGTCTACATGCTTTTGCTTTAAAATGGCTTTATGCGGACGGGGATACGGATGTGGATGCTGCAGATGCATTTAAAAGTGTTTGCGACTGGCCGTAAAAAATGCAAACGCTTTGCATATTCGGGGGGGAAAGTATAAAAAAAACCGCCAGAGATCCCATTGAGGGGGCTGTGTGTCACACACAAAAAACACTTCCGGGTGAGCTGGCGATTGTGGCCATTGTAGCCTCCTCCGGCGGCTGATGGCGCATTGTTTAATTAACTTAAGGGGTTATATACAGTTGTGATATATGAAAAAATCGATTTTTTTTTTATTGCATATTCTTTAAGTATATTCTATTGGGAAAACTCTCACTAAAATTCATAACGATCGGAGCATTAGAACCGAAGCTGTAGCTATTTCTAGCGCACTATCTGCATATAAAACTTAAACAACCTTGAAACTTTAAACGCGATTATCTCAGAATCTTTTTTTGGGGAAATTACCTTTGCGGTGGACACGATTACTAAAAAACTACTTATCCGATCAACACCAAATTTTGATCACTTATTTATTATGATATTAGCTAGTCCGTGAACGAGGGATTTTCAATTTTTTTGAAAACTACTTTTTTAAAGCACAAAAAACGAAAATCTTATACCTTGAAAAAGTACATTTTTTGTTAAAAACGTCGCCATTTTTTTTTTAATCAAAATTTTTACAAATCCCTCGTTCACGGACTAGACAATACAATATACTAACTAAACTTTTTTGAATTTTGGATTTCGGATGAACCGTTTTCGAGAAATCATGTCCACCGCAAGACACCATCGAAAAAAGACGATCCGGGAATTCGGCTATAACATTTTTGTTATGTAATATTTTTTTATGAAAAAATTTAGTGAAGTACCCAGAAACATGTACTAAACAACGTCGTTAAAACATTTTTCATAAATATTTTCTATGGTGTCAAAAAAAAATCGATAAAAATCCATATATTTGCGCGGTACAACTGTATATAACCCCTTAATAGAAATATAAGTGTCTGGCGTTTGTTGCTTAACAGGTAAATGTTAACTCGTTCATAAAAATGTCACAATAAATTCGCTTTTATCAGCCACAGTTACAAACTGATGGAAGCAATATTTGTGCATAAATTTATAGCACTTATGGCCGGCAGCCATCACACAATCTGGTGGAGTAGACTTCATTAAACAACTTTAATTCTGGACATTTTGGGGAGAGTGTTAGAACGAAAACTTTGAAAGCACAATGGACCATTGGACCAGTATATAACCACATTATTCAGTTGGCTTATGGTCTGCACTTAAGCCACTTTACCGAATACGTACTTCTTGCATTCCGGCGCATAGAAACGTGTGCAATTGTTCAACTCGCTGGCACAATGGACGTTGAAATTTCATGTGACCGGCTTAGTTGAAGGGACTAAGAATTTGAATTTTATATACGTTTTAACAATTGCCTGGCACAACCCGTACGGAACAACTTATATGTATTGTATTCGCCGAGGCAATCCACAAGATACAACCGCAATATCCGCGCTGGTTAGAACGTGTGCCACCTGCGAAATTTAAACGCTGCCACTGCCACGCAGAAATATATACCTTTCCCGAGGGCCGCGCGGCGTTGTGGCTAATTTAATTAGACTAAAACGTCAAATATTTGTCAGCCAGCTAGCCAGGGTGGCCAGCTCATAGATACGCCCGGAGGTTGTCCATACAAGCGACCGCCCTTACCACATACCTATATAGTTTGTATAAAAAAAATATATATTTACGACTGGGGTGTTATGAATTGAAGAAATGACCGGCAGACGACGATTCACCTTGCGACGGGGTCATGGGGCGAAGGCTTTCGGTATCAACAAGTTTTTTAAGGGGATTAGGACCCAAACATGTGGAAGAGACCCAGAACAGGGACCTGGAACGAGATGGATAGACAGAAAACGGCGACAGTCGGCAATTGAATTACAACTAATTTGCCGTGATTTGATTTGTGCTGTGCCAGCAGCTATTGTCTTGCCACTTGCTCTTCGAGCTATTCTTGCCACAAATTGCAGCATATTTATTTCTGGTTTCTGTCCAATGCAGCGTAATTAATTTGATTTGCAAAATTCAATTTTAGATGGCAAAACGATTGACATTGGATACCTAAACTAAAATATTACAATATCAGAGATACAATATTTTCAAGTTATTTCAATCAAGTTATTATTTTTAGATTTCTAGTCGAACTTTAATTGGGTAATTTTTAAGAAATTTAATTTGGCAAATACCTTGGCTTGTACCATTTATTTGACTCAACAATAGAAGGCAAACATTTGATTGGGCTCATGGTTTTCTAGCCATGAGCCTTTCCTTGCCTCAACCGAAATACAAACAAGTGCTAGACAGCACAAGTGGATCCTTTACAAGTTCATATGTCTCTGGCAGAGTCAGTCTTTTGACGGGCATAAACAAATTTGCCCGGATCCGGGCCATATTCCGGCTGCAGGGCAGAGGGCAGTGCCAACCAAAATCTAAGCTCTAGATACACATGGCAGGAGCAGGATCCAAGTTGCCAAACAAAAGCAGAATTAAATCAAAAATCTTAAACTGGATTTTGATGAGATAAAACTAAGAGAGGGTTGGGGTAGAAGGTGTTGTTATTTTTATTTATTTTCTTGGATTTTTTTGGGACAAGCAGCAGAACACAATTGAAGCAGATTCTCCAGCATCAGCTGGAGCCGGGGTTTTGGGCCGGAGTCTCGCATGACTGCACGTAAACAGCTAAAGCCAAACAAACAAACATCAACCAGGACGTTGTGGGTGGCTTGGGTAGTGGGTGTGTGTACCACACAAGGACGCACCATTGTACATACCTGTACGTTAACTCATTTAGTGGCAGGTGGGTTACCATGACTGCGTCTTTTATCAAGTTGCATGCGGTTGGCAAAAAGCACTTGCGGTTGGGATTGGAGCCAAGCTGAATGGCTGGGCCCTTAAAGTAGCGCCTGGTTCCATTCTCTTTACGAATTTCGCGATTCTTTGCTGGTTGGTATACTCTATACATACATAAGATTTCCCCTTACGTCCCGCAATCTCTCTGTTTCGGACATAAAGGATGTTCGCCACGTGGCTGTCTGCAGGGCAATCTACAAAAAATTTCCAGCAGCCTGGTCTTGTAAAAATTGTATCTTTTTCATTTAATTAAAAAATATATAAACCTAGCAACGTATATCCTTAAAATTTTAATATGTATAAAATGGATATTGCAGCTACGAGAATCTATTTTCTTTTTTTTCCGTGGAGTTCCAAAAGTCTGGCAATGGCAGTCCCAAAGCAAACACCCAAGACAGACAGACAGTCGGACTGTAAGACAGTAAGTGGCATAGTTACACGCACGCTCTCACCCATTTCGCAGAAGGTTTCGAGCATCAGAAGCTGCAGCATAATATGATGCATATTTCCATAATTCACCCAGCAGCTCGCCAAGCGCCCAAGTGCAGAACCCAGACTACGGAGTACGGAGAGTGTGTGGCAAATAAAATTGCATTCAATATTTCTTCTCGTTTTGGCCCCAGAACGTTGATGAGATTTTTTTTCCCTGGGCACGCCTCCCATCATATTGTTTTTCTTGCATTAAATTTATGTCTGTACGCCCTAAATTGCAGGTCGTACCCCTAAGAATTTGTTCTATGCTGGCGCATAATAATTCCGCATTTATTTGAACCTACAGTTTTCAGTTTTTCTCCCAAGAGCTTTCGGTAATATCTGCTTCGATTCCTAATTGATATAGCTTATATGACTATTATGATAAAAGTTGTTGCTATGGAAGGTAATATATTTAATATGGGATATAAGGAAATGGGATATAAGGATAAATCAGGGGTCTTATCTTTATCGAACTTCGTCAGAAAAACGTAGAAATTGAGAAATAAAATATTCGTTAAATTTTCGGTAAAATCATGATGTTTCAAAAAATGAGTCAAAATTTTTGTTGCCGGTTTGATTTAAAATGATTCTACTCAAAAATCTAAGATTAGCAAGGTATAACTTTTGTAGATATGTCAAGTATTAACCAAGCTATGAATGTTTTCCATCCCAAAAGATTAAAAAATTGGAACAACGTTTTGTTATATTTTTCATTTATCCAATATCTAAACTTTTGATGCACTTTTTAGTGAATATTTTGTCTATTTCGCAATCGATCCTAAATCGGAATACCATTTATTAATCAGGACTTCAATCCCCTCCGATTCCTATCAAAATATTGCAAAAAGTGATCAAATGAATTTTTGACCAGTTTTCGGCCAAAACAATGATGTTATCCCTTTGAAAAATTACGAAAATGGATCAAAATTTTTGCTGTGAGGGTTTTACATAGGAAATATACTACTCCAAGAAACAAGATCGGAAAGGTATGACATTTGTCGATCCGATGAATATTACCAAAGTTATGGCCATTAAATGTTTGTTTTTGGCCAAAATGGAAGCTTCAAAAACGACATATGTATTTAAAACTATTAAATTATTTCTATTCCTCCATAATAGTAGCTAATTCAATGGGTGCATCATCCTGGACATTCTCTATGACATCTGCGACTCTTCCACAGGATCTGCTGCTCCGCTGTTCCTACGTTGTTTTCGTGAAAGGACACCTTGGTTACCATTCTGTAAAAAGCATAACTAAAAAATGCATAATAATAAAATACAAATACTAATAAAATTATTTAAAAGGATTTTCCAAAAGAAAAGAGGATTTTGTCGAATTTATTCGCTCTTGAAAAAGTTATATCTTTTAACCAAGAGTTTTCGATAATATTATATTTGCTTCAACTTTTAATTAAATTAGCTCGCTCGGCAGCGCCCAGTAGTTCAATTTCCTTTAATATATTTACAAAAAAAATAACTGTCTTTAAAAAAATATTTTTCGCGGCGAGGGGTTTTCAGCCAAATTGGTTTTCCATTTCGTATTCCTTGTAACTCGCAGCGTGCTTCATTTTCGATTGAAATACTTTTTCGTTGCATACTTTTTGGAGCCCGCCTCATTTCTCTTTCCCTTTCTATCTCTTGTGAGGCTTTTCCTCGCAAATTTCCGTTGTGACGTCATCATCCTCTGGAAATGGGCAATCTTTAAATATTTATTTCTCGCTACTTTCGCATACCGAAGTGCTGAGGCATTTTCCCGCTTTTAAACAATGCGCGATTTTCATCAATGAGTTGCGATTGTTGGCTGACTTTAAATTAAATCGGAAAAGCAAATAAACAAAGTTTCCATGGCCAAAACAAAGAACCGAATGTAGTCGAAATAAGGGGCCAACAATGGTTAGGGAAATGGGATGGGGGGTAAGCAACATCAAACACCAATCCTTGTGGTAAAATAAATTCACTCCAATTCATGACAGCTCAGCTCCTCCGGCGCAGCTGAGTCTGAGGTGTCCGTGCGCCGAGGGAGTGCCAAGTGCTGGAGAAGATGGAGCAGGGGGATGCTGTGTAAAGGGGCGCATTCAAAAGTGGGCGGGGCAGAGCGTACGTGCTGAGATACAAAACTTGCCAGAACGGATTAGAAAGTCGTGTGCTCAACGCACGTTTCTACACGGCGGGAAAAGTATCTTTCAAAAAAGTTGATATCCTTAAAATCTGTATAATCTTTAGTTTATCTTGTAAGTAACTAACACAAACTCTTCTCAGTGCCTTTGCTCTGGGGACATTCCTCAAAGGATTTAAAAGGCAATCAAATTTAATTGTTTTTCGGTTAGCCGCAAAAGTTCTCAGTCTTTCTGAATCTGAATCTTCCCTTTTTCCTCCCGAAAAACTTGTTCCCCTTCTGGCAGTTGAAAAAGGCCAAGAGCCCAGAGTCCAGAAATAAATGGGCATGTATCTTATTTTATTTCGCATTTTATAATAAACGAGCAGTCAGCTGCCTGGCTGACAGAAATGCCAATTAAATGTATTTACAAGCAAATGCAAATCAAGCTGATGAAGTCCCCGCATCACTGACGCCACCGAATCCCAACGGATTCGGATTCGATCCAAATGGGCCGTGTTCTGGCCAAAAATACGACTCACCTGTGCATTTGTTTACGCGACCAGCTAGTTAGACGTAAACAAGTCTCGCCGGAAGTGGGCCAGCAACAGCCACAAAATAATATAAATATATGAAAGACATATCCACAAAAATGGTTGGTATGATCTGATCCTCATCTGGCACTGCAGATCTGTGGCTTCGGTGTCATTGCTCCACTTGGACACAAGTTCAAGCAGCAAGGTCTGGCTGGCTTATAAATTCTCACTTTCAGGCACTCTCCTCTAACATTGATCGCTGGCTGTCAACGAGCCGTGTAAAGGCCAAATGCCGTTTATTTTTAATAACGAAAATAAATATATCGAGACGGCAGAGACCAGCCACGCATCCCCGAATCCAAAAACAAAAATATGTATTTTCTGATGGGAAATGTCATAAAATGTGGCGCCAGAAAGAACAGAAGCAGTCAACGACTCGCCCGATGACCTTAGAGAGTCAGAACAAAGCGGTGCGGCAGCCACATAGCAGATAATTCGGACGCACTATGTTCGTTTTTGAATTAAATAATTTATAATGCCATTTGTCTGCATATCTAGAATATTTTTCATTAATGACCCAGAAAATGGATGGGCTGTGGGCAGCTGAAAACTTAATATCTAGTTGCTGAGAGCTGAAGGAAAAGCTAATTGCCACTAAATGGTATGTGAAATGTGTAGTGCAAGGCTACCTTTCAATATTAATAGTAAGAGAGACAAGTCTTTCGATATTAATTTATTACTAAATAAAGCATACTACTTGTTCAACAACCTGTGAACACATATTAATAACCGAATAGCCCTGTGGCCCTGCACGTACGCCCTGGGAAAATTCCCGCCCAACTCCCAGAGCTACCCGAAAATCCCGCAACGCCCCCGGAAAATCGGGGGAAATGGGGCTAATGGACCAATGCTGTGCTGCAGTTGGTGAAGTCCGATTGTTTGCTGGTTTATTATTAGCTCGAGTAAAGTTTTAGCGAGGTAAACACACTGACTTCATGTTGCGACGCGGGCGCGGAAAACTCAACGGAAATGGGAGGAAAAATGATTTTGAAAATTGTGCCTGGTCGCCGGGCGAACAAAAACAGAGAAAACCGAGAAACAAAATGAACGGGAACAAATGAATAAAATGAACACAAAAATAGCGCAACTGAAATGCTGTCGAGAGCCAAAAAATTTCCCCAAAACTAGACTGAAATTGAAAAATATTTTCGAACACGTCGAAACAGTTGCGCGTGCAATGAACGAGCGAAGAGTCTTCGAGTCGGGTCGAGTGGCAGAATTTGTCAATTATTGTGGAAATATTTCACAAAACGTATATACCCATTGATGTGTAAATATTTGGTCTCCCTGGCTCTTCATCTCCCTATGGTGGCCAAAGAAGAATGAGCAGAATTCTTGACGGGTTAACGAAACAATTTTCGTGCCCCCTCGAAAGCCAAACAGAAGTTGTTCAGGGAAACAGTAGGGTTGTGACACCTGGCCGGCAAGGTGTGAAAGCGGAAACAAATCAACAATCACAACAAAAACAAAAGACAATTCGGTTGAAAAGCGGCTGTGACCAAAAAAAAAATAAAAATCATCTAACAACATGTCAACTAGAGTGTATTGTCAAGTTTTAAGAATCGAATGAGGAATTTTCTATTCCCTATCAAACCTTATTTAAAAGTCTAGCAGCTTGTAACAAAATCTCTTGTTGTTTATTGTTATTTACTCTATAATCTATAAATAAGTCTTTACTTTTGCCAACTACCGAGTATGACGTCCAAGTAATCTAATCCAAAGATAGTGCATTGACTGAAAAACCTGCCGGCATCGAAAATTTCATTTCGAGGGAGAAAAAATGTGATCAGAGCAGTGGGACCACCAGCTGCGTTTAGCGCATTTAAGGGATTTGCATTATTCAGAGCCTGGTCAAAGGCGGAAGCCCGTGACGTAAAAGCCGGCAGCATTTTTGGGCCGCAAACCTATTTTGGCTGCAACGGCAGCTACGGCAGCCCTGCGCAAATCAAAACACACAGCTTAGTTCGGCAGCCAGTCTGTTTGCATTGGACTCTGGCCGAAAACTTTAAAGCCGGGCCGAAACTGGAGTGGCCAGCATGGCGGATAGCCAGCCAGCAGCCAGGAGTCGCGCCGGGAACACGTTTCCTAGCCACACACCGTTGTCTGGGCACGTTCGCATCAAGTGGCAGTGCCCCGACCTGGCAGGCGTTTTGTTTATTTGCTTTTTTCCCGGCTGCTGGCTTATTGTACGGCAAGTGACCGGACCGGGTCCCGAGGAGTGGGGGAGTAGAGGTGGGAGAAAGCTGGAACAGGAATGGTAACGGTGAAGTGGGAAGTTCTATGGCTGCAGCTGCCAACTGCGCGTATACGTAATTTTATTGCCAAGGCTTCGGTTTGTACGCTTGCGGCTCAGCCGTTTGTTTTGTTATTGTTTTTATTCTTTCTTGGCTTTTTTTTTTTAAGTTAACAGACGGGACTGAAATAGCCTCTTTAAGTTTGAGTTGACCAATTAGATTGATAGTCAGGTGTCTGGAAAAAAATAGACAAAAAGAAAACTTTTTAATCTAATATTTGCCTTAATGTCCAAGCTGCTTGTCCATCTTCACATACCTCACTGTGACCATGACGCATGGCCTTTACTACTATATCGTAAGTAATGTTTATGTCGTCGTGTCCGGCAATTAGGCGTTCTTCCGTTCGATAAGATACGGAATCAGGCCTCACAACTCCGACGATTCTTATCAGCGACCATGCTGGTAACCCATATAAATATAGAAGAGCGTAATTGAATAGAATGGCTAGATAATTGCTGGCTCTGCCATTATTTATGGTTCACACTTGGGGCAGATATAATGAGAATTTATGCACTTGTTTCGAAAATGTTGAATGGACGATTTGGTGAGTCTAAGGAATGCGGCAGATTATTGCCAGTCTAGCAAGGGAAGATCATACGGAATTTATTAAAAGTCTATAAATAACATGCGGAAATTATTTCTATTTTTTGGAAAGGAAAATTTATAGTTTGTATAACACAAATGTCTGCGATGAAGTGCTCTCAAATACATACTTAATCCCCGCATTAGCTAAAAATCCACTCAATAGATGTAAAAGTATTTGAAAGAAACGTGACAATATTCGTAGGGCGGCGAATCGGCAACAAGTTGCGAAAAAATAGGAAACTAACATATACCATTCGAAATAGAACAGATAGAACATCCAATGATGTCGTATTTGTTTTTGGCCGCTGGCTGTTGCCAAAACGACGAAGAACTGTGTAGAAAATGTGCTAAACGACAAAAAGGGGGGAAAATGATTTTTATTCGCTTACAAAAACAAGCCGCAAAATGAGCGACAAGCCAAAAAGAGCGGGCCATACAAATGGCTCGGCAATTTATTTTTATACCAAACAGACAAATGCGAATACAAATACAGGAGTCTATACAGGGTTTGTGGCTCTATTTGTGCTTGTGTTTGTTTATTTATAGACACGTATTGAACATTCGCTAGAGAAGGAGACTAAAAGAGAGTGACTCGATCGGAGAAAAACCGAAAAAAAGCCATTACCGATTCTCTCAATTATCAGCTAAAACACACTTATTACCACAAAGGAATACACTCGCGTATAGGTAGTATGGTATTGGCAAAAAGGCATAGCAGAAAAGAAATGGCAGAAACAGCGGCGCGGCGCTGAGGCGAAAAACAGCTCAAATCAAATAATGTGCGGCCAGGCCAAAACAGTTTGAGGCAAAACGCTCGCTCGCGATGACACAATAGCACGCTGTGGCGCTGGCGAACCAATTTTTCGCTAATATCAAGCATACGCAACGTGGTGCACTGCCGCCAGCTATAAATAAAGAAAAGCACAATACCACTGTGTAAGTGTCGGAGTGTGTGTGTGTGCCATTTTTTAAGTGCGCAAAAAAAATACAAAACACAAGATATTGAAAAATATTTGAATATCGATACGTTAGTGAACAAGTGAAGTTGAAACGCAAAATGCTGCATTAAAAATAATAGCCATTAAATCGTTTAGATAAAAATTAATCCCATCAAATACTTCAAAGCAAGACACTAAAACAAACAACAACTCAAGTGCAAGTCAATCAAATAACTATAAAAAAAAAAACTTCAAAACGGGTCAACGATTGCGGGAAATCAGCGGCAAAAGACGCAGCAACATGATCTACATTGATGATTCAGAGCCGGAAGGTGGTAAGTCAAAATGCCGATAAGGGCTCTCAAAAAAAGCCAACTTATATGTATGCAGTATATAGGCAACACTGCGTATACGCGATAAGAGCCACTGTCTACATTTATCTATACATTGTACACAATATTCTGTATATTGTATGGTCCTGATAAATGCGACAAATGGCTCAATCGGTAATTCGCAATTATTATACCCTCTATATATTCTTTTTTAGGAGATTACAAACGATAACTCTTTGAGCTGTGTTATTGCTTTTTACTTTCTTTGGTTTTTCCCCAAAATAAATCCCCCAGCCAGAACAGCAAATAGACAAATCAAATCATCGCAAATCTATGGCTTAGCAGCTGTTTTTTGTGAGCCCAGTTGTTATCCGTTAACTACGCTTTAATAAAGGGGCCAAAACAATAAACATTTTCGGCTCATGATACCGATACAGAAACTGATACTGATACTGATGCAAAACATTAACTTTTATGCATCGATAAAAAACAAACCGAACCAAACCGAACGGAGCACAACTGCAGAATGGATCTGTGCGAAATCAAGCTGCGAATGGGAGAAACAAATGCTTAAACGATTTAGAGCCGCATCCCATGGGCAGGGGGGCTTTTAAAAATACATGAATTTCAATAAAATACGACAATGCCCAGCCATGACTGTGTTTTTTCGGGGGAGGCTTTCTGGTAGAGGCTGGAGGCTATGTGGGTGGGTCCCCAAAAGGGTGGCCAGATAAGGCGTACTGCGATCAGGAAACATTTGCGACGCCGTTTCCATTGTCAGAAACAATAAATTTCACGCATAAAACAAAAGAGAGGCCAAATAATTTTCTTTTCCTTATTTTTTTGGTTGGTCTTTCGTATTAAAGCCGAAATGAAAGCTAAAAGGAATCAGTAGGGCACAAAAAACCAGGACTAGCAGACGATGAAGGATAAATGTCACATCAGATGAACGTTGGTAGTGAGACAAAAAAAAACTGTGGCAACTGTGTCTACAGTGGTTTAGACACCAAAAAGACAAAGGAAAGCCAAAAACCCAAAAAAAACTTCCAAGAGGAAAAAGGAAGTGTCAAGTAGTTGGGCCCGCAGGAAATGGTTTTAGGGGTATATGGCCCAAGGAGTTTGGCCCGGCCAAATGCATATAGCATGAAAAATGTCGAGTGTCGGGCGATTCGAAAAATGAAAGGCACCCCAAGCGGAAGACAGACTTTCGACAAAAAGGAAGGAAAACCAAACGCGTAACACGACTACACAAAAAGGAAGCCATCCACAGAGGCGTCCTGATTTAGTGCCATACAACCCGAGTATGGTGCAAAAAAAAAGGGTTACACCTCTCGTTTTGCCAGGCACTTTTTCCCCAAATTGGCAAATAACAACAAACGGAAATACTTGTCTACCTGTGGCGAAGGTGGCAACCTGACCGATTGGCCAACCTTTTTCTGGCCAAATTCCCACCTTTTTGTCGAGAGAACTGTGTGTGTGTTGCCGGGTTTGTCTCAGCTGAATTATGTGCTAATGGCCCATAAGCTGATTTCTCAATTTCCTTTCCCCAGTTTGTCTTGGCAATTATGGCAAATCTTGTGTATCAGCTTTGCACAGAAATAAAGAGGAACTTTAATCGAAGCGGAAATGAAAGCATTTTCAGCGGAAATTGCTAAACCGCACACGTGGATTTTTAATGAACATTTCAAAAAAATGTTTAAATATTTTTATACGCCTTCGCATGTTTATACAAAACTTTAATAACACAAATCAAATGGACGCTTATCCTATTTTATTTTAAATTTTAAATGCAGTTCAGATAATCGGCCTGCGGAGAAGGAAGACAAAGCACGCCGATATTGTATAAATATTTATACAAGAAATCTGCATAAAAATGTGGATTCTAGCGTCATTAGATGAGCGAAATATACATTTTTCTACATAAAGAACAAATTTCTGACTGCATACAGTGGAGGCTGGCCAGGATGTACAGATTCGATTCGAAGACTATACAAGACCATGAATTTTAATTGGGCATTCCATCTAGCGGGCAGAGTCTGTTGGGGGAGGCTGTGGGATACATTATTCATTTCTTGGCTTTTTTTACGCCGCCGCTGCTAACCGAAAATATTCAAAAATAAATGTGTATTTTGCTTTTGATTTTTCGTACTGTGCTGCCAAGGTGAATGTAAAACAAACAGCCAAAAAGACCGAAAGAATCTCTCACTGGGTGTCTTCAGAAAAGTTACTCAACGTCCGTCCGTCCGATCGGGTCGGATCGGATCGGATCGTCCACTCTCCCCATCTAGCTCTAGAGTCTATACATATAGGTTTTTAGATACATATATATAATTGAGATAAATTTATTTTACGTCGCATTTCATGTTGAAGGTCGTTCGTTGATATTCACTTGAGTTGACGTTGCGAATTCCTCGGCTCTGGCTCATCGCGGGGGTCTCTGTACTCTACAATCTACGAGTGCACTTGGCTCTGTTTCATTTTCTTGGCTAATATGCCAGAGGCACATATTTGATCATTTATCTATTTGTCAAGTAATTATGTAAAATTTCACGTTTCCTGATTTTCTTCGATTTTTCACTCTACTTCCCTATTTTCTTTGCTTTTAAATTTGCCAATTCATTGGCAACTAAGTCCCATAAATACACTAGCATATAATATATTTTATTTGTCTGAATGAATGCGGCTATGTTCGGTTTCTCATTTTTGGCTTGAAACCAAAATTTAAGAATTTATGCTCCTGCCTTCAAACAGACCACAGACTCGAAAAAAAACCAATATTTATGAGTGCCGGTCAAAGCCAAATTAAAAGACATTTTATTTGCGAATATCTGGGGATTAAAACAATTTATAGAATATTTAATTCAGCCGAAGGCATTTAGCAAAACCAATTCCGAAAATCGCATAAAATTGCTGCTCGGAGTGCAGCTTAACATATTGTTTTTGGCAAACAAGGATATTCGTGGGCTGGCCCCAAAACATGTCCAAAATCCATTCCATATTATTCCACCGGCAGTATTCGCCTGCAGTGTTGTTTCAATTTTTAATGCAAAAGTATCTCCGGCAGTTGTCTGGGTCGCAGCTGCAGGTAGAATGGTGGCATTAAAAATGCAGACTGGTCGTGAGTGCCACAGATATCTATATACGAACATACTTACATATATGTATACATCTATTTGTATGTGGGGAGTACGATTATAACGCATACGCCATGTGGTCCTCAGAAGAATGGAGCAGCGAGTGGAGTCGCAACCGAATGCCGCATGCTAAACAAATTAAAATTGAAATTTAATGTATTGGCAGTACAGCCAGCCTGTAGACTGGCAGTACAGGCAGACAGACATCCAGGAAGCCTTGTTAAGATTGCATTTGCCAAATGCAAAACTAAACAAACAAGTGATAGAGCCAGCAATAGACGGAGCAGAAAGAGACGGGCAACTGCTTGTTGCAACTCAATTTGCATGTAGACACTTCGCGCCCAAAATGACAAACGGAAATTTCCATAATGCACAACATTCTCGCCCAGAACTAGAACCAGACCCCCAAAACGCCAGCCATAATGGTATTCGGGCTAAGGACGCTGCTCGCATCCAGCTAAAATAATCAAAATTATGTAAATGCTTGTGGCGCCCGAACTCGAATGTTTTTATTTATTAGCAGCCTTGCATTCCGCCTTTGCATGTCATGCAGGTCATTTCATTTGCATTTGCATTCCACGTAGTCAACATCATCAAAATTGTGTTGTGCTTTATTTCGGTTTCAGCCGCGTTTTGTAATTTCCCTGCCCCATTTTGCCAGGACCAGGCGCTTTGTGTCTGATTTATGGCTCCAACTATATTCCAATATTAGAATCCAACTCGTCACATCACAGTCCCAGAGCTAATCAAGCTCTATAATCAAATGTTTGGTATTATTTGATGTGGTGCTATTTAGTTTTCATTTAAAATTGTTACTGGTGTTACTTACTCGTAGATTATTGCGAATGTGGGGCCTCATTTAATTGTTGCCCAGTAACTGCATTTAAAATGCGGTATCTCCTCTCGGTAATCGCCTTTATGTGGCCAAACAGATCGTTAATTCAGACTGAAATTAAATGAAAGGCAATAAAGTGTAGCTGTAACTGGCAGTGCGTTCTGGCCGGGTCAAGAGTAATGCGTTGGTTACCTCCCCACAGCCAGCTCCTATTGGTCTGAGCACTCAGATCCTTAGCTCTCTTGGTCCTGTTGACGGTTGGCAGCTATCTTGTCTATTCACTGTCCATCGGGAGTGACTTAAATGTATTACCATCAACCACTGGCCAGAATGAGAAGCGCTAGGCTTTAAAACAGCTTCAAGGACCTCTAAAATTGGGGTTTGAAAGTAATTGCTGTCCAAGCTAAGCTACTTTTCCACCAAAAGTCAGAAAGAGTGCTTTAACGTGTCCTTAAAACCCACTGCTCAGCACATCATTGGCCAGTGGCCTGGTCACTGAATATTTAAGCACTAGAAGGGAGCGTATTGTATAAATAACCTCAACACCATTAAATTGTCAAACGTGCCACCGTGGGTGACTATCCTTTAGTTTGTGCCCCTTTGTATCCGGTGTGTGTGTGAGTAGTGGCTGTTGCCACATAGCTTGGCAAGTGCAAACTTTATTTAGAAATGTCAAACTGTCGCTCAGCCTGGACACGCTAGAGATACAGATACAACTGCAGATACAGATACATTGTGCTGCAGCGCAGGTACGTTGTACATACAACATACGTGTCAGCACAAAAGCGGCAAGTGGGAATGTGGGGCATGGGGTGCACGGGTGCGATTCAGGACACCACATCAGACAGTCGGGCAGTAAATAAAGCGTTAAATTTTAACAAATTGTTGGCAGAAGCGCGTGCGAACAGCCACCAGCTGGCTGTCATTGAATCGATGACCTTTCAATTACCTCGCTTTTATTCGGTGGATGGATGTAGGATGTATGTAGGTACCGTGTAACTAACTAAAAACCTGCTTCTTGATTAATTACTTTG